GATGAACCAGCCCTTCATGATCTCTGTGAGTTTTTGGGCTTCGTTCGCATTGTGTGTTGAGTTGGTCATTTTGTGCTCAGGACGCAAGACTGTGTTTTCCTTTCCTTCCCTTGTGAGATAACCAGAGGTGATTCGATCAATACGATGTGGGTTTCAGAACGGGACGGGTCGATGTGAAAGATAATGGATGTTAACAGTGGGAGCGTAACAGAATATGCTCATGCAAGGATATATGCTCGTGCCGAGAAGAAAGGAAGTGGTGAGATAGTTGAATTGACCCACACCAGATGGGAGTGGGGGTGTCGATCAGATCAGGTTAGAGGAAAGCAAGGCTCGGGGTGGGTTGCGGATGGGGGGTGGGTGGTTTTGGGATTGGGGAGCAGAGATATTGGGATGTCCTAAGGAAAGCGAGCTGGGCGATTCGGGTCGTTCGGGGCTGAAGCGGGAGAGCGACAGACTCGGTCTGCAAAAAAAACAGTAATAATTAACAAACTGGGTCGTTTCCGTGCGGAAGGGAGGTGAGCGGGTCTATGTACAGTGTCGCGGTAGGACGGGGATCGTCGCTGCCGGTCGACCTATCGGTATTACTATTACGTAGAAAAAACCAAGAAACTGATAGAGGGCGAGAGGTATTGGTACGGGGGAGTGGGCTAAATTAGGTAAGGTCCGCTCGGTCCGATCGGGTTAGGACCCAACCTTCCTTACTACTGATTAGCAGTGTGGGGTGGAGACAGGCATAGGGAGGGCAGTAGGAGTACGAAAACGGACGAGAATCCACTCAAGGGGTTCTAGGTTGTAGGGAGTGAGGGTAAATGAGTAGAAGAGCGGTGATGTGACGAACCAGCTTTCGGACCTGCGCCATCTTTCGGACCCCTTCCTTCCTCGTATTTTCTCTACATCTAGATTTGTCTTAATCAGCCTCCGAGAACCCCCCCCCGCCCCCCCCCCTCTGTTTTTGTTTGATTAAAGGTACCTCGTTCAAATTTGTCTATAATTTATTGAAATTCTGTCATTTCTTTTAATTTGAAAATGCATGGGAATTTCGCGCGCCTTAGTAAGCGCGTTCGGAATTTGGCTCGACAGTTAGGAATTCCGGAATCAACGGAACACGGCGCGACCTTTCGTGCGTGAATGTTCTTGGCGTCGACATAAAAGACTCTGGGAATTTGTAGGAATATGGATAGGCATAGAACTTTTTTTATTTTCCCGCGTCTACTTTTCACGCGGATATGGTGATTTCAATTTTTGAATTAGCATAGGATTGGAAAATACTGCAACTGTTTCGGTGCCCATTCTTCTTTTGCTGTTCGGCGCCATGCAAACGAGCTCCCCCCCCCCCTCCTTCCTTCCTGCGCCCCCTTCTGTGCCTTACCTCGCGCGCACATGCTTTCTCGCCCCCTCCCCCTGTAACTGTTTTTCTCTCTCCTTCCCCGCGCGCACCCTTTTTCTCTTTCTTGATCATCTGAATCTTGGACCCGTTTCATGCTATCCTTCGCACTCCTCTTTTTCTCGCTCTAAGATCCTCGCTCGAAAATCCTGGTTGATCCTCTATTCCCATTTAGCCAAGGAGAAGCGCCGTGTAAGAGGAGATTCCTACTGCGTGACGATTCTGATTGGCTGAGATCGAGTTGTGAGGAATCAACATGGCTTTCAACGGGCAACTACTCTCAAGCCCTCCCTCACCCTCCTCTACCCTACTCTTCATTTTTCCCCGCATCGCTCCCCCTTCTCGCAACTATAAATTCCGCCGACGCATCCGCAAATCTCTCTCTCAGTCAACCAGCTTCCGGGAAGCACTGGCTAGATGATGTGTATAGTGCGAGTCGGAAAGTCGTGACGGGCTGACTGCAGACTGGCTGGTTGTGCGCTGGATCGCCACAACGGACTGTGGGATCCGGGCAAGCCACGTCGAGGCTAAGTTGGCGGGGTGATGATCGCAGTGGTGGATGGTGGCACGCGGCGGCCGGGAGCGTCGGTGCATGAATGGGGATGAGTGATCCGAGTTGAGTGGATGACTGGTCTGGGGCCATGTTGGAATTTGGTGGCTAGTACGCCCCCCCTCGTTGCGAATCCATTCTTTGGTGTGAGCTCACGGCGGTAAAGCCGGACCTCTTTTTTTTCCAATCTTAGTGTAACTCTTCCCTCCTGGCTTAATATTCTCGCCTGCCTCTTTCTCCCTCCTTCTCTTCTCTCGCTGATATGGATAACTATGCATGATGAATCAATCTTTTGCTTGTGATGGAATGAGCATTTGTGAATGTGCGCTCGGAGGAACTTCTTCCATAACTCTTCCATTAGTTTCCTAGGTAATCCCCGGACCTACTAGGAATTGATCGTCTTGTCTTGTGAACGGTGGATGCGCGTGCAGCGACCATCAGCGATCTAAAGGGATTGTGATTACTTACCTTTGACACAACAGGGCAAGGGTATTGCACGGCTGCTGTTTTCGCACCTTCCACAGTGAATGCATGCATATGATGGAAATGGTCGAGCACGGGACTCGTCTTGATTAGGATACTGTCCGGACGAATCGATGACAGAGAAAATGTTGTTGGGGTTTTGTTTTGAGAATGCAATAATGTTTAGATCTGTTGATGCTGTGATTATGGACGAGTACCCCGGGAGCTGCCGTTCGGGACACACTGCCCATGTCATCTGACTAATGCTGCACAACATATACAACATACCCTCGTAGAATAATGAGGGACTCCAAAACCACGTGCGATTGGAACACGTTAACAGTAGCCGCGTCCCACCACACGTAAGTTTTTGTTTCTTTCTCTCTTAACTTTCTTTCTCCCCTCGCTTTTAGGAGTTTTTTTATTCTGGCCTTCCGATCGAATCGATAGGTTGTGTGTTTTTCGACTAGTATCGATTTTGGGCCTACGATGAATGATTGAAGACATCTTTGGTGCCTGATTGATTGCCATGTGGACTGACGGGCTCAACCCGACTAGGCGCCGGCCTCCCGTATCCCCACCTCGCCCCTTCCCGTATAACGAGGAAAGGACGAGTGTGTGTGAGTGGGACGTAGGAGAAGCCATCGCAAGGATCGGTGGGCAATATTACCTCCCTCCTGAAAATCGGTGTTCTGGGTTTGTCAGTGCTGGGTTTGCCATAATCGATAGGCATTTTCCGCCATATTCGTTGCTACTGCGTTGATCGTCATCCCGTGGTCGGCAGTGGCGCCCCGTTGGCCTAAAACTCTATGCAGTTATTGCCAACGCTTCGATCACTACCAATCAAAGGGTTTCCACTACCGAGTACGTAATGAGGACGAGCATAAGGAAAGGGCCACACGATTAAGGCCGTCTACGTCAGATTTGGAATTGTGCAACGTGCGGCGTAAGGAGGTTGTCCGAAAACTGGATACCAAGCACGTGCCCGCTCCCTTTCACTCCAAATGAAGGGCCGTGGCTTGGTGGGAGGTTCGACAATATTTTCTGGATTGAATTCGAATTTCCCCACGTCGCGAATCCTGCGCGCGCTTCTTCGTAACCCACGCTGCAACCAACCGGTTCTCTTACTTCATCAGACCAACACAGGGGATTTCAGTTCCGTCCATGTCCCCACACTCGATTTCCCAAAAATCCTTGGCACACCCCATCTTGCTGTTTTCCAGGGCCTTTTTCCGCACCCGTAATACTCCGAACGGAAGAGAGCGCAGGGAGTGAGGTTGCGCGTCACAAAGATGAGTCATGGACAGTTAGTGACGAAAGCTATTACATGCATAACGAAAAAATAAATAAATTATAAGTCAAGCTGGGGAAGGGTATGTGAGCAGCGTAGGGCCGAGTTGGAATATACTGTTTATAGTAGTATAGAAGGAAGGGACGCGGTCCCCACAACAAAGAAGGGCGATTTGGAGTAGGACTAGAATAGTAAGTGAATACAGATGGGGAGGAGTACCAGGTGGGGATTAATGATAGAGAAACTAGGTTACTTTTGGCAGGCCTCTCTTCTCCGTGTCACAGAAAGCGAAGTATCAATCTCACCACTGGTTGTAGTTGTAGCCAAAAACCAGCTTGGACACATTCCCGACAGAAGAGGAAAGCGGCATTCTGGCGGCCCTCCAACAAAAACCAGAGGAATGAATACGCCATAGAAGCTGCGGCGAAGTTTCTGAGGCTGGGTCAATATCTATAGCGGAACGCCCGCGTAGGGCGTCATGCTGGTAACTCTGGTTAAATCTGGTAGACAAGCCTGGGCTAGGGGGGAGGTGGTTTCCACGAAGACCGAGCCACCAACACGGTGAACACACTCGCCGGAGTTAACTTCCCTTCGTAAACTTCACCCCTCCCAGAAGAAGGTAGGATAGCTATGGAAGCAAAACAACCGAGCTCTCGCCACACGAGCGATGCAGGCAACTAAGCGCCGCTGAGGTCGCGTGCTGGTCCGTCCCCCCCTCTGAGGCCTCGGTCTCCTTCACTTTCACCGAGGCTCCCCACCATGGCTTTCATTCTCCGCCCCTCACCAAAACTTCGACCCAAATCCGGCGCGCAGCAGGTCACGGACCTCCCCTCCGCCCTTTGAAAACAAAAAAGGAAAGAGAGAAAAGAGAGGGAAAAAAACAAAACAAAAAAAGAATAGAATAGAAAAGAAAAGACGGAATGTATCTGCCCACGCTCGAGGAGTGCATACGTCGTCCGTTTTAAACGTTTGGCAAGTGGTGAGGAGGCCCTCTTCCGTCGGTTCAGCGCAGGTGGGCACACGGGTTGGCATGCTCACAGGAGGACATTTCCCACTGAGCTTCTGGGTCTAATTACTGTCAGATGCATCCAGGTGCGGGTGGAACTACGGTCAAATTCATCCAGGGGGGCCAAAAGTCACCACGCCGCCCGTGCGTGTACTTCCTGGCGGCGAAGAGTTCGCCACGGTGCTACTATATTGCTCTCTTCGGAAAGATCTCCAGCACGGTTCACTTCTTCCTCTCATTCTCTAGCAATCGACATTGGTATTTGCGCACCCTCCCTTGCCGGCGATCAACTCCGTACTTGCGCGCCATCGCCCGTCCTTCCTCAAGAAGAACCGCAGTCGCTGTTCTTGTTGGCAGGGTGAAAAATGGCGCGGTCGATGAAGGGAGCTATGGTCGCCTTGGCGTTCTTCGGGCTGATGAGTGTAGTGGCCGCGTCTGGCAGTGAAGACGACACCGACGTGTGCAACTTGGCGAATGTGAACTTGGATTCCCTGAAGGGTCCGTGCGACGCGATGGCCTCGAACTTGGGAAGGGGAGGAGAGTGCTGCAGCAAGATCGATGCACTGATGGCGGAAGTGCTGGAGAACTCGAGGTTTAACCAGGAATGCGGGGTGCAATTGCTTAACAAGCTCGCAATGAACGGATACCCCATGATCGCCCTCGATTACGTCGACAAGTGCCTTGGAGACGAGAGGAGAGCGCTCCAGGAAGAGGCCCCTTCGTCATCAGGGCCGACTAAGCCCCGTCCTCCAGCTGGTAATTCCAAGGTCAAGGTTGCGCCGTCGTCCGACAACTCGGCTCCGGCTGCGGCAATCCCGATCGTGATGCAGTTGGCGTTCGCTTTCGTTGCTATAGCTCTCCTCCGCTGAGGCCAGCTAAAGAGTGTGTGTTTGTGAGTGTGTGTGTGTGTGTGTGTGTGTGTGTGTGTGTGTGTGTGTGTGTGTGTTTGAGAGAGAGAAAGAGAGAGAGAGAGAGAGGTGGTGGCATTTTTTCATGTGTACCCGCGATTGGCGGTCCAGGTGGATTAAAGACGCCTGTAGAGCTGTGAAAACGTAAATTGGTACTGCAGGGTAGAGTCGTTGAGGGCCGAAGAAGCGCGAAACGCTATCAATAAGCGCCTTCAGATCTGTTAAAGCGAAAAATGGAGTAGGTATTCGTTTATCTCGTAATTAATGAGCGGTCAGATGATCGCCAACATTTCTATGGAGTTGGTCAAATTTTTTTATTTGAGTAAAATAAAGCAATTTCATTGCTGTTGTTCGGGTAGGTTGAATATATCTCTGCACCGTGTCGCAAGCGGAGATTTCTCACCGGCGGGGAAAGATAGGAGGCATCATTTCTCTCGAAAGGTCTTGGGGATTCCGTGGGATGAAGTTTGACTGGAGGTGATTCTGGGTCACCTAAACGGTACAGGCAGGGCGGGATTTGATGTCCCAGAGATTGATCGGAGTGGTGTCGAGTTATGGATTGATCGGATTGGTCGGATTCGTTTTGAGGTTTGGATTGATCGGATTGATTGATTGAGTGACTGATCGCGTTCAATGATGGACTGATCGATCGATTTATTGACCGGTTGAGTTATGGATTGATCGGATTGGTCGGATTGATTGATTGAGGTTTGGATTGATCGGATTGATTGGATTGATTGGTCGAGTGATTGATCGCATTCATTGATCGACTGATGGATCGATTTATTGACCGATTGATGAATGGATTTGTGGAGTGAAAAGATTGATGAATGGATTTGTGGACTGAAAAGATTAGAGGTGAGGAATGTGCTGACTGATTGATCTATGGATTGATTGGATTGATTGATTGAATGGTTGATCACATTCGTTTATCGATTTATTGACTGATTGATGAATTCATTGGTGGACTGAGACGATTGGTGCTGAGCAGTTATCTAATTGGTTAATATTAATTAATATGGATTTGTTGCTTGACGAGGGGTTAGTGTACTGATTTGTCAGCTGATTAGTCGGTTTATCAATTAATGGCCCGCGAAATTTATCTGTCGATTGACGCGTGCGTTGTCTTCCATCAATCGATGATGGATTATCCGATTAATTGGTCTGGTGATTAAATCACGTTCGTGTTATGTGAATCTGATAGAAGAGAAATTGGCTTGAACGTTTGAAATCGGTTGGTTGCAGCGCGATCCTTAGAACTGTCTGAACTTTCATGGGCTTGAACGTTTGAAATCGGTTGGTTGCAGCGCGATCCTTAAAACTGTCTGAACCTTTATGAAGGTTTGTTTCAAAGAGAATTCGATGTATTGGCATGTTTTTTTTTGATCGGATAAATTCCGATCAAAATATTATGTTTGTGAGCGCAAAGAGTCTCTCGAAGTTGGGTCTTTCTTTTGCCCTCTTTGTTTTTAAAATTTACGTTGTGAACAGCGCAAAGACTCTCGAAGTTGGGTATTTTCTTGGCCCTCTTTGCTTTTAAGAATTTATTTTCTGAGTGAGCACGGTCTTGAATTATCGTCTTTGAGGTGATCGGCCCCATCGGCAATTTCCGAGGTAATTGCCTGGTTCCATTGGAATTCGATCTGGGGTCTGTGGTTTAACAGTTGATTGGTGTACCAAATGAACTCTACCGTCTTGACCCGAATACGACGCCCGATTATTGTAGCCGTATTTGGGGCAATTCTTTGTCCAGATACAGTTATAATGATCGGGGCGTTCTATTCGAGTGAGGGCAGTAGTCCGGTCGGTCGAAGTTCTTTTCAGATTTCCGAAAGGAGTATCATTTGTTAGATGATTGTTTGTACCCCATTACGAAGGGTATAATGTGTTTTTATTAAGGTGGCTTTTGGGGTTGCCAAGGGGCGGTGCTTCGCAAGATTGATTGAAATGTAATCACAATAATTGTCCTCTTGTGAAGACGTTCGTGGAAACGACGACATGAGTACATTAATGTGCTCAATTTGTCTTTTGTCCTGTATTTAACGGAAACACGAGTGAAATAATAACGTGTTTCTATCATGGTGTTTTATCCATTGTTTTGATTTTTTTTTTTTTTTGATAGAGAATATATGGCAAAACAGGGCAGTGAACAATAATAATATGTTTCTATAATGGTGTTCTATCCTTTGTTTTGATCTTTTTTTTTTTTTTTTTGATAGAGAATATAATATGGGAAAACAGGGCGGTGAACAATGTTTAAGGTTTTGTGTTTTTTTTTTTTTTGTTGTTTTTTTCTGCGACCCTTATCTTGTTTGAGAAATGTAAAGATATCCTCTTCCTGGAATTAGATTCAGTTTGCAATATATTTTTTTTAATTATTTGTTTTTTTTCCTGTATGCCAAATGAGCGAGACTGTCGTGTACAGTCTGGGTTGGGACATTTTTTACCATATCGGGCAACCGTGCTGTTAGGTTTACCGACTTGCTTAGTTCAGTCGGTACACTCCATTACTGCTGTAAGACAGACCCGGGTTCGAAGTCCACTAGCAGGGGTTTAGTTTATGTTTTGCGTATTTTCCAACGTGGTCACAGTAAAGCCGTGAGATTTTCAGATCGGATGGTAAAGGAGCCATGTACACTCGAAAGCAGAACAAAACCTCGAGATGTGGACACGACCTCCGGGTTCGGACTCACCTGGAAGCAGATGAGTGAAATACTACAATTGTTCTGAATTACGAAAAAAGAGAAAAAAAGGTTTTTCGGGGTGCTCTGTTGCTACTGTTTTACAACTCCTCCGAAGAAAACAGCGCAGCCTCGTCATGAAGGAATTCAGTGGGTAACGTAGCTCTTGTAAGCATTCGGAATCGGTGTGCGTTGTCTTCAGGTAGTGCTATTTTTCCTGTGAATACTTTTGCGAATGCGTGCCGTGTCGGGATTTGTTTCTTGCTTTGCTGATTGTCCTCCTGCCAATTTCCAGTCGGTTTGCTTTTTTCCTTTTATATACGTTAAATTAAATCGAAACACAAAATAGTTTATTTACTTCTGGTTTTGCGGCTGATTCGGACTCGTTCCTAATACCTTGGCCGATGTCGCACTCGCATAGAGGACTGGATTCGGAGCCCGAACATGGGCGTGTTTGTTGGAGAGGTGCATACTGCTTGTCCTCCTGCTAATTCCAGTCTCTTCGCATTTTTTTTTTCATTCAAACGTTAAAACGAAATTCGAAGTAGTTTTATTTCACTTTTGCTGTTGCTGATGACTCGGATTCGATCGTAGTGCCTTTGCCGAGGTCGCACTCGCGCAGAGAACTGGATTCGACTCGCGAATCTGGACGCTTTTGTGGAGAGGTGTAGGAAATCGCCATCGATCTGCGTTTTTCTGCATCTCTCTGCAAAACACATCCCGATTCAGGCGCTTGATCCAATCATCTTTGCTAGCTAGTCGGACCTTGGTCCGGGTTTCGGTTCGAGATGAGTGATGCCTGTGAGAAGCTTTTTTTTTTATTTTTATTTTTGCTCTTCAATGAATGTGAGAAACAATTTTTGCCTTTGTTCTTTCCGTCCGAGAGACACCTCAGTTTGCCTCCGTCCCCCTTTTAGAATACTCTCCGCCCTTCCGAGTCATGGAGGGGTGTTGCGGGCAAGCATATGCTTGTGCGACTTCGCCAGTATGACCTCTGTATTGCACTGCAGTAGAGCGCGGCGCAGCCCTCTCACCAAAAAAAAAAAAAAAAAAAAAAAAGACATGGTGCGTAATTACGGCATTGCTCTTTTCTTAGCTTTTTTTTTTCTTTTCTTTTCTTTTCTTTTCTTGGCTTTCATAGTCGCGGTAGACTTTTTTTTGTTTCCGTTTGGTTCCGTTTGGCGTTCATAACTTTTCGATAACGGTTCCGGGACGAAAAGAGTTCTTACTGGGCATTCATAGTCGCGGTGGACTTTTGTTTTGATGAATAAGCATGTGTACTATTTGTAGTCGGCATGGAGAGCACACACGAGCATAATCTTAAACGTATCTGACCGTAATTACGGCCCGAGACGGATGTAGCTGACAACAATTACGTCCAGAAACAAGTACAATTGTCCTCATGCGGTAGAGGCCCTCTGATTGATAGGTTCGAGGATCGTAGTGGAGGGGTCTTGAAACACGATCGTAGCCGCCGAAATTAGCAGTCAGTTTGAATGCCGTTTTTTTTTTTTTTTTTTTTTTGAGGAATGCCGTATTTTCTAGGCCCTTGCTCCACTGCAGAGCATTCTACATGTACCCGTACTTTCAAGCTATTGTCATTGTTTATAACCAGTCATTGCTTATAACATGAGACGGACTTGTAGTAAGCAATTGTCTTTGAAACTGTGTGAAAATTGCTTGTGTGCTACGTCTCACTGATCAGTAAGCTATTGTTGCCGTTGGTGTTTTTTTTTTTTTTTTTTTTTTTTTTTTTTTTTCAAAGCTTTGTTTTTTTTTTTTTTTTTTTTTTTTTTTTTTTTTTGTCTGGCAGTAATTGTGGGGTTTGTAGCCAGATGCATTTGGAAAGTCCGAAAAAGAAAAGGGGAAGGGGCGGCAGTCCTACTGCGAGGACATAGGGTGAGGTCCCACTAGCAAAGAGGGTTGGATAAATATCCTGAATCTGGACGTGTTTTAAGCAGGGATTCGGAGAACCAGATCAATCTCGACATTCTGCACCTGTCCACAAACAAGTCCATTCAGGTGTTCAATCCAATCCTCTTTGCTAGTGGGACCTCGCCCCTGGTTGCACTACTCGCCATGCGCCGCCAATTTTGGCGAGTATGTGCTTGGTGCTTGGCTGCACTTACTCGCTGATCTTGGCGGATGAAAATTGTGCCGTGCCAGAGTGGTCCCCACACCGTCGACACAAGTTGTGGCACAGTAGGTGTGTTTTGGGTTCTTTCCCCCCTGTTAACAGTGGTTTGTGGAGGCTGGTCCGTCGGACCTCTCCACGAACGGGGCGAGTAAGTGCACTCAGGTGTCCACTTCGACACGATTCTTTTTATATATATATATATATATATATATATATATATATATATATGAAACTCCTACGAAACAGTTTGTCACAGCCCCTCGTTTGTTGTCCTCTTCTCTCTCTGCCTACGGTTTACCGGGCAGTTCTGTTTGTGACGATATATCTGAGTTTTTATCTTTTTTGTGGTCGGATGGACCACGGATCAGATATTAAACTGATCAGTACAGATACTACACTTGATCTTCCTTAGCCGAAAGGCCAAGAAAAGTATATTCTCATTTTGTTCACTCTCCACCCACCCGCCACGTGTGGCGGTTGGCGAGTGGTGCAACCAGGCCCTGAGTATGCCATGAGTTCCCCCCCCCCCCCGCCTTCAGATCTCATTGCGTGCATTAGGTAAGTCCTCTTTAAGTGAGGGATGGGATGATGGACCCCGTTTGCAGCCCAGCCGAACCAGGGTAATGAATGGCGTCAGTTTCCCCTTTGGTTATTTTCTTTGGTAATAAACTTCGGATTACTTTTCCCCCGCGCCCCCCCCCCCCCCCCCCCCCCCCCCCCCCCCCCCAACAAAAAGAACAGAACCCTCAGGGCCACGTTGCTCGGAAAAGATCAAATATATTAGCAACAAGACCACGTGCTCATTGGTTGTTTTACTGGAAATTCCTTGCTTAAAAAAAAAAAAAGAAAGTCCTTGCTTTTTCCCGAAAAAGAAAACAAAACAGTGAAACAGTGGCCATTTCAATTCTTGGATCCGTCAAAAGAAAAAAGAGAAAAGGAAAAAAACCGTTCAAATTGGAACGACGAAGAGAACTGGGTCCAAATTCTGTAATCAGAGCATCCTACAGCGAATTACGGCCCAGAATGGATGTATCTGACTACAATTACGTCCAGAAATCCGCAAAGTCGCCCTACTGTGAGTACGCAAAACCGCAAATCGAGAAACAACGTGCCTGGATCATACGACTCTGGCTGCCCCTTCCAAAAAAAAAAGAAAAAAAAGAAAGAAAGAAAAGTCTAATTTCCTTTAGAAAGAAATAATAAAAAAAGAAAGAATGAAACAATTTCAGATCGGACGGCACCCGACGCTTCAAAACCGTTCTACTCAGCGTCGGCACCATTCACTGGGGCGTGGTCCCACTAGCAAAGAGGATCGGATCGAATGCCTGAATCTGTACGTGTTTGTCGAGAGGTGCAGGAAATCGAGATTGAACTGCTTTTCTGCATTTCTGCATAAAACACGTCCACATTCAGGTATAATATCCGACCCTCTTTGCTAATGGGACCTCGGCCCTGGAACTACGTAGGTCTCAGGGGCTGGAACTCGGCTCCCCGTGATTGGGACTTCCGTCCTATCCTCTTCGTTTCCTTTTTTGTTTTTTCTCTTTCTTTTTTTTTTTTTCCTTTTTTTTTTTTCTTTTTTCTTTTTTTT